TAACCATTGTTTTATTTTATTTTATTTTATTTTTTGAGTTGGAGTCTCACTCTGTTCCCCAGACTGGAGTGCAGTGGCTGCTCCCGGCCACCGCAGCCTCGACCTGCTGGGCTCTGGCGATCCTTCCGCCTCAGCCTTTCCAGTAGCCGGAATTACAGGCGTGCGCTACCACGCCCGGCTGATTTTTTGATTTTATTGTAGAGATGAGGTCTCGCCTGCCCAGTTTTATTAATATGATGGATTACATTAAAGGAATCCTAATATGGAATGATACTTTCCTGGAATAAACCCCACTTAGTAAAGACGTATTATATTTTTTAAAGTGCTGTTGGATTCTGTTTGCTAACATTTTATCTATGATGCTTGCATTGATATTCACATATAAGTCTATTTCCTTTTTGATAAGTACCACACTAACCAAATGTGTGACTGGAGGTCCTAAAGTTTCCTATTTCAATGTGTTTGTAATTTGGGATCAGTATTATGCTTGTTTCAGGAAATACATTTGAAAATTTTCCTTTTTCTTTTATTATGCTCTGAAAAGGTAAAGTCATATTGAGATTATCTGACAACTTAAGATTTTGTAAGATTCTTCTGATCAGAACCTGGTACTTTTTTGTTGGCAAACTCTTTAAAACTTAAGAAAAATCATGGTAATTGAATTATGTGTGTATCTATTGGGGCCAATGTTAGTAAGTTGTATTTTTCTAAAAACTTATCCATTTTTTCTATGTCTTTAATATGTTTTTATGGAGTTAAACAAAGTAATTTCCTATTCTTTTTTAAAAATTCCTCTTTTGATGTCTGTTTCCAACTTGTCATTTCTAATTTTGTGAATTTACTTTTTTCTTAATTAAGTTAGCCTGTCTTGTCTATTTTGTTGATATAATAAAGACAGTCTTGTATTTATTTATTTGCATTCTGTGCTGTGCTTTACAAACATTTATTTCAGTTTTTGTCATTGTTACTTTCTACCTTCTGCTTTTTTTTTTTTTTTTTTTTGCTTTTGTTTATCTTGATTTACTTTTCTGTATTTTCTAGGTTTTTTTTGGTATCTTGGTTGCATTATTTGTATTTTTTATTTCATTGCTATAATCCAACTTATTTCATTGCTTTTAATCTAAATTCGTTTTGTCTACCCATTTATTATATATTTGTTACTATTATTTTCAATAAACTGTATAAATTTATTTTGTATTCCTCTTTGAGCAAACAATTAATGATATAGTTTTTACTTCCCAGACAAGTGTATCTTCTTGTTTTCTGGATATGTTATTAATTTCTAGTTTTATTATATTTTAGTTAGTGAATACTTTTGTAATATACCTGTTCTTTAGATTTTCTTGAGGTTTCTTTGTTACCTCAGATATGGTAAATTGTATGAATGTTTCATATTCACTTGAAAAGAAGGATTATGTTCTCAATTATTGTAGTTCAAAGTTCAAAACAGATTTATAAGGTGTATTTTACAGATTATATTATGTAGGTATTCTATACACTTTGAGTATATAATCTGTCTTGGATTTTTAAAAAATGGATCAAGGTCTTCTATTATTAATACATTTCTTTCTATTTCTTAGCATTCCTTGTAATTTGTCATTGGTATATGTTGTTGTACTGTTTTTCATTTTTAAAAATAAAAAAAATTCAATAGTGTTATGGGGATCCAAATAAATTTTTATTTCATGAATACACTTTATAGTGGTGAAGAAGTCTCTGCTTTAAGTGTATCACCAACCTTAATTGTGCACAGTGTACCTGAAAGGTGATTTTTTCATCCCTCCATCCCTTCTCACCCTCCCCCTTCTGAATCCCAGTGTCCATTGTACCATTCTCTTTGTCTTTTCAGATACCTGGTTTAGCTCCCTCTTATAAGTGAGAACATGCAGTGTTTGCTTTTTAGTTCCTGCATTAGTTCACTTAGGATGATATTCTCCAATGCTATCCAAGTGTTTTTCTTTTTTTTTTGAGTTGGAGTCTCATTCTGTCGCGTGGACTGGAGTGCAGTGGCTGCTCCCGGCCACTGCAGCCTCGACCTGCTGGGCTCCAGCGATCCTTCTGCCTCAGCCT